TCAAAGGATATTTGTGGAAACTTTCATTCATCATTTCGTGACAGGAACTATTCAAATGGAAAGTYAGGATATTATTTGACCTAAATTGTATTATTTTAATACAATGAGACTTTCATATTTTAAACACGTGCATGAACTTGTTTATTTAAAAGTTATTTAAAAGATATTTCAATCAAAATGCTAAACTTTATTTATTTATTTATTTTGGTTAGCATACTCAGTTAAAAGGATGCTGCAACTAAACACCAATGATTGTGCTTTTCGTGTGAATAAACTCACTTTGTTCATGCAATCAATTTAGCCCAGATTAAGTTTTAACAAATTAGATTAATCAGATTATGTGACTGGAATGGAATTAAGAATGGTGCRTAAACATTTACTATGCTACTTTTTTTAGTGTGGTAAAATGTAATCAATCATACGTATATCAAATAAATCAAAGTAAACACCGCTGAACCTTGGATAATTAGTAACTCAAGTGTCAAGAATTCGTGTTTTTTATGTAATTAATGGCTTTGGGGACAAGTTAGTAAATGATTTAGTAACATTTCCGGTATAAAGTTTTAGCTAACGCGTCTGATATATACAGTCGAGGTAAGGTGACAACTCCGTAAAATAGTTGTGTTAAGTTCATGAATTTAAATGTTAACCACGCACTTGTGCAGGTAGCGGAAAGCCTAACCACTAAACCATTTAGCTGGTTTCCGTAGCTGAGAAGCTGATCTCTCGCCTGACCTGGCATCCATGTCGATGTTTAACTTACCTCAGGAGGTTTTTTTTCCTTGACAGAGGCTGAACGACACCGTTAAAGTATGTGGTGATTTCAGCTTAGGCTTTTAGACTCGTAACACTTCCTGTTAGCCTGCTAGCTTAATGCCCCGGTTCGCAAACGCCAAGAAGAAAACACAACGCAGTTTGGTCAGCAGCTAAATATCAGGTAACTTAGCATTGATGCGTGACTTTACGCCGACGAGAAGTGAGATGATGTTAAAAAAAAAAAAGAAAAACGGAAAGAGTAAAA